TCTTGCATTGAAAACTATTATTTCCCAATGAAGAAAGTGACTTTTTTGTTTCGTAATAAATTAATGGAATACAAAATATAGCTAATAAAAGCTATTTTCATTTCAAACATGCAATACTTATAGCTTTCTGAGTTTTCGCAATTGACATTTTTCATGTATACTTTACCATTTCATGGAAGAAAATAGAAACTATAGTTTTAAATTATAATACATGCTGATTTAACTGGCTAGTTCTTAAGAACAAATATGAAACCAGAACAAGTTCTTCAGAAAAATTGTATGAACGCATTTGCCGTACGAATAGTTTCAAAACCTTCGTCATGCAGCACAATATATTGTTATTTAGGTCAACAGTCAACAGTGAACAATTCTTCGCCCGCATGACATTTTGGAAAACATGACCGAGAAGTTCCATATCGGATAAGAATATGAAATGTGTTTTGAGATTAATTTTGGTTCTGTCGCTTTAAACAATGAGCGCTTTGTGCATCATAAATAAAAATCTAGAAATAAACAAGCGATTGTCATTTTATTCTGGTATTTATTTGCTCTCAGCGTGCACCCAAAATAATTTGATTTTGTGATTAGCGTTTATTATGACTACATTTATGGTAATTGACTAATATTTTAATTTTTTATTTTAAATGTTAATTTTTCTTTTCTATTTTTAATAAAAAATAATCTAAAACAATAAATACTAAATCCGTCTACGGGTGCCGATGAAAGAGCTTCCTTTTGAACGGGACGGCAGCTGGGGAGTATAGCTCAAGTTTAGAGCTGCTTCATTGAGCGGAAAAATGAATGCTCGGCTTTAGGTAATACTAGGCTCCCCTAGAAGTGCTACATACTCCAATTATAGTGGTACAGGACTTTCATGGTGTGCCCTAATTTTTTTTGGAAACGTGACACACTGATAAAAAACGACGTAAATAAACACATGCAAACAAATTGTGAAAATGCTACGTAAAATATCTATCCAGATTGAAGTGGTATCCTGGTATCCTCCATAATGAAACACGCTGGCGAGGATTTCTCCTTTCAAATAACTATTTTCTCTCTGTCTGTACTTAGCACGACAGCCCACGCACAAAGCAGGGCCTACCAGCAGCTTTCCGGCATTGCGGCCATGGGTTAGAGTCACATGTGGTTAGAACGAAGATTTGTACCCTACGCAGAATTCTGGTCTTCTCAACCTGAGAAGCGAGTTTTCTCATCGTCACACAGCAACATATACTGAGACATTGCAAGGAAAATGCACACTGTAATCTTGCCCGACCGGGAATCGAACCCGGGGTCGTGTCAGGTAAAGCGATCTCGATGACCAATGAGCTAAATCGCAAGGGCATCTTTTATCTAGGAAGCTAAATTTGAGTGTGTTAATTGTGCCCGAGATAGCATAATACAATCACAGACTTCCAGATATTCTTTATTTCGCATTACGAAAACCATAATAGAAACCATTGTATTTCATAATCAAAAATATATGTGCTGGTTCTAAGCATGTTCGATAAAGTATCAAATATCCAGGTGGAACAAAAATCGATGGCGAGGCTCCAGTTGACGGAATGACGAGAATAATAGGAAGTGAAACGGCTCAAGCCCAAGGTAGCGAACTTCTGTGAAATAAATGCGAATCATTTCTACGTGTAAATCAGTGACCATGCCCTTACAAATTGGGGTCGGAATCACCGAGTGTCAAAAAACCGCTCACACGTCTGAAGCGGACAAGAGCACGCCGCGCGCCATGAAGAGATCTCAAGGACTTTCGCGTGCCTGTTCGCCTGTCTGCCCTACCGAGCTCCTTGCGAAGTTGCAACAACAGGGGCGAATCCAGAGACAAATTGTGGGAGGGAAAATTAAAAATATTTGGTCGAATGTGTCATTGCGGATTTTGTAAAATTCGTAGGCTGCACTCAACTCACGCTGCGATACGATTTTATTCGTTTTAAAGATTATCCGAAAAACAATTTGCTTGCAAGTTTCGCGACAAGTTAAAATGAATAGTTACAAAAAACATAGGGGACAAAATTTATCGCATTTCCCTCCCCGTGGATCCGCGCCTACAACAAAGTCCGAGTGTCTGGCGAGGCGAGTGTTGCGTTTGAGAAATAAATACGACGCTACCAGAAATAAGGAAATGATCAAAATTTTACAGAAACCAACACCGATTTGCGTGTGCCCAATATAATTTTTGCTGATGAGATATTACAGCTTCATTTTTTTCCCGGTATTTTTACCTTGACGGGGAGACGCCCGGCGTGCAGAGAGGCGGGGAAGGCAGTGGGCAGCTTCTGTGGGATGGGAGGGGGGCGGTTAAGCCTTCTGTGACGCCGCTTTGTGGTTGATCCCCCTCGGAGACGCCGCCTGCGGATGAAATGGAGCCCTGATTGACGTGTAGCGGCTTTCTCATCTCTCCCTTCGGTCGCGTTTGCAGATAGCTGTCAGTTTTGTAATGAATATTTTAACTGAGGTTCGTCGTATGACGAGTGACAAGCACAAGCCTTCTGTGCCGTGATGGTCAGCATACGTATCTTTTTTTGTTCGTAACGAACGTCTTTTGTGTGCCAAATAATCATTTACCAATATTGTCTTTAGAGAAATGTCTGGTTTCGAAGAAGAAACGATGTGGAATACGTTAAACATTACGCAACAATTTTGGAAAACTTGTTGTGAAATACATAATGGCTTGAGAATAATAATTTATGAATAAATTGTTATGCAAATGACGTTTAGAGTAGTTTCCTGCCCACGGTGTTACAGTCTAAATCAAGCCTTGACATCCGGGTACTAGTCGAAAGCTCCAGTTTGGTGCATAAGCCAGATAGGTGTGGGAGACAAGCCCGTCACCCAATCCTATGTGCGTAAGTAATGATAGGGTGGGGAAGGGAAGATGTCTCTCGGTCTGTTGCCTTTTAGTGTAATGTACTGTGCTGGCCTCCGCCTGGAACCGATTGGACGAAATACGAAATCGCCCGGTCAGAGCAACCTGCCTCTAGAAATTTGTTTAGGCACTAACATCTCCGACACAGGTACTTCGCTTGTGTCGACAATCTTGGGGAGTAGAACCTTGGACCTGTTCGTTTACGAAGCTTTTCTTGCGAACTGTTAACTACAAATGCTAACGCAACCGATTTTTATCTGAAATCGTTTTGTGTAATTGTGAGAAATATGATTATGAATATGACAAGCGATTCCTCAAATCCAGAGCCGAATATAGCTTAATTGTCTGTCTTCCTACATCTCATTAAGGAAAGTGAAGGCAGTTAGGAATGTGACGTGACGGACGTAAAAGTGGCTAGGGTTTAGGGAGTAGAGCGGCAGTCTCGGGAACGGAGAGCTTCACTAGTGATTAATGCGGTTTCAGCACAGACTTTAGATTGTACCCTTTTAAACACAGCCTTGCTACGTTAGGCCGCTCTTTGATCTTTGTTTGACCGTTCTGGAAAGTGATAAAGAGGTTGAAAACGCACCCTGCCCTTGCGCTTTCACAAAGAATATTTTACAAAGTACCGTATTAGGTCTCGCAGTTTATTATAATTGCAATATAGGAATGTTGGAGTTCTTCGAGAGGAAAGTGAAGGTTATAACGAGATCTAATTTAATTTAATTTCTGAAGGGCATAATGTTTTCATTGTAAAAATTAGTTGTGAGCAAAAGTATTCAAGTAGCAAAACAGTAATTTGGAAATCTCAATGTCGTTCCTTCGCCTTTTAAATACACTAACGGATCTGTTTCTTTCTGCAAATTATTAGTATTACGGACTACCTGAATTTTGTGTATTGGAGAAAAATTTCGCTTGAAGTTCCATTACACCTGAACATTCTTATAACTGAATAAAGCGCTACAAAGTTTTAAATAAAATATTTCAATTAAAGATGATTAGTTTTTCGAAATCCAACACAAAAATGATTGTCTATTATAGTATGCTCTTATCGTTCACTTAGCAGAGGTTTCGCTGGAGTCGCGAAAAATAAAATCGTAGAGACTGAAACATTTCAGTTATTTTGGTGCCATTGAAATTTATAAAAAATATGAAGTGGCTCTTGCATATTTATTATTTGAAATTTTTGTTTCCGATATCCGAAAATGAAACACTAAACAGTAAGTTCGATGCAAACACTCCATCTTCCCGATTGTCCTACCGTCTCAGTGCTAATAATAGTTTATGCAATTAGTTTGTAATGCGAAGCTTTATTCGTGATTTGAAAACGAGCGACATTAAGGCGAGTTTTCAAATTTGTACGAATGCAATAAAGCAACATTATAAACGAGTTGCAAACACTATTTTATTGTATAAAAGCATTATATATTTATAAGAGAATTAAACTTATTGTGCGAAACAACGTTCTAGTGATACCTCGGGTATTTGACATCCGTGCGAGAAAACGGAGCTCGGCTGTTCCGTTTACCTTCACCTGCCCACGATTCTTTTTCTGCGTTTGGCTGAACGTGTGATGACGCAATCATTTGTGCCGTAAAATGGTAATACAGCATATTTGACGTAAAATGCCAGATTATAAAAGATTTCTTGCGACAGAACAGATCGTTTATAAAAGTGGTATACAAAAAAAATGAAGTTAGAATATTGAACATTGTATGGGTCTCAAAATATTGGAGATGACTCAATGGGTATTGGTTGGTTCGTAGGCTTCCGCAGCCGGAGTCAATGCATACTTGGCTATTCGGGATGAGCCGCGTCTCGGTCAATTATACTGACGTTTCGGCCATCTTGCTGTGGCCTTATTCAGAGCTATACTGTTGACAAGCTATACTGCTACTGTCTTGGCAGCAGTATAGCTCTGAAGAAGTCCACAGCAAGATGGCCGAAACGTCAGTACAATTGACCGAGACGCGGCTCATCCCGAATAGCCAAGAATGCGATGGGTATTGGTTGTTTTTTAGTGTTATTGAACTGTTCATGTACCTGTCTGTGAACGTGAACCCGCGCAATACAAAGGTTGGCAGCCCTCCCTGACGAGCGTGTGGCGGTGGGCTTGCAGGATCAACCAGGAGCGCAACGGCGGCGCGTGGTGCCCCAAGGCGCAGATCAGCAGTGAGGTGCGCGAGTTCCTGGAGGTGGACCTAGGGCGCGCGCACCGCGTCACGCAGACGCTGACGCAGGGCCGCTTCGGCAACGGCCAGGGCCAGGAGTACGCGGAGGCCTTCCTGCTCGAATACTGGCGCGACACTCTGGGCCGCTGGGCGCTCTACAGGGACTCGCGCGGCCGCAAGGTGAGTACACGCCCCCTTTGGCCTTTGTCAGTCTGTACTATAGCGATATACCGGCTCAGTTTAGATCAGAGCCGCCATTGCTGCTGCCTCGGCAGTGGGACTCACAGGGAAGGCCTAGTGTTCGAGTCCCGACGGTGGCGAATTTTAAACACTCAATTGACGGCTAGCCGGAATTCAGTCGGCGTATGCCCGACCAGTACGCTAAAAAACGGGCCGTGCGGTAACGTTTTTTCGTCCTCGTCCTATCCTCTTCTCTTACACATCCATACTTACACTTACATGCTATACACCACCACATGTCTGGAACTTAGACCTTATCCTGGCTGTGGCGTTGCACCGTTGGCGGATACCTGGAGAGGGAAATCTTCCGCAAGCTGATTATATCGGCGTGCGATTTTACCATCAAGTGAGAATCACTGCCACCTCCCGTCAAAAACATTCACTACATTAATGGGACTAATGACCATAGTATTTGATGTTCCCGGGTTCATTAATCAATCATAACATCATAAAGCAACTAGAAGGACGAAAAGTCGCTCTAAACGGTTGTAATCTGTTATGGATTTAACACTCCTCCGTCTGCAAAGAACAATCGAAACTAAGGAGTTGTAGTTGAAGTTAGCGGATGAATACACCTTTTGCAAGGAAAGGTATGTCTTTTTTATTGGAATTTTTCTTTTAATTTTTCTTACCGTGTTGAACGACACATCGCCAATGCCAAAAATAACGTACTAGGTTGGTTTAAACGTGGGCCGTAGCTTCAAAGTCGAAACTAAAACTGCGTCTGTTATTTACTCTAAATCTGGCTAATAACGTCAATAAATAGTGCCGGTCATAGTTGTAATCATATACAGTAAACTCCCTTTTCCTCGGACATCTTTTTTACTCGCCCTTTCTTCAATTCGCGGCGATGATATACAAACAAGGGACGATGATGGCTCACGGATCTGTGGTGATGTCTCCTACCGCCAAGAAACGAAAAGAAAATCCACATTTCATTTTAGAAATATTTTTTTATTTATTCTACTCTAAAATTTATTATACTAAATGCGAGATTTATTTACGTACTGCCATTGTGTACTGTGTATACTGTATCTTATAATAATGTGATTATTTTTTTCTCCAACGAAAAGTTCTTCCAGGTCTCCCTTAATTATTAAAATAATGTTGGTAAAATAATTATCGGAGGGTTATTTTAATGCTATTAAGGGAAAGACGGTTTAACTGATTACATTGTTATTCGATCCTGGCCTCGATCCCGAAGCGAATGATTAAGAGGAAATCCGTTGTATGTTTGCTTTCAATAATTTTACAGGAGCTGAAAACGATTACAATTTCAAATCACTCCGGGTCTTTCTGAGTAGTTTTAAAATCTATTGTTTATGCACTTATTTGTAGACGAGACTTGCGACGCATTATAAGCGGTTGTTTAATGACTAGCAGTAGTTTAATGACTAACGTAGCAGTAGTCACGCAGCATCAAATCCCAACGAATTTTCGATTTCGAGGACGCCCACACCCGTTGGATTTCCGCAGTCGGGATCTAACCAACAATCCCCCGACAATCGAAGCCATGCTATGAATGAGTACCGGATTAACGAATTCCGCAAGGTCATTTAACGTTCTATTTACTCTCTGCAAGCGGCGATCCCCACCCTACTCCCTCTTAGGGCTTCACTCACCGCTGCAAACGTCCCCTCCATTGACATCGTGCATTGGGCGCGCGCCGTCCACACACCGATGCACACCCGCGCGCGTTCGCCGACCCAGGTTTCGGCGGCAGCGCCAGACCTCGCCTCTCTGCTTCCCGCTGGGATGGCACGGCTTTAAAAAACAGTGTTTTGGATAAATGTTTAAAATTGCAGACCCGGTTTTTAAAAGGCAAAACATAGGGTTTGGTGCCGCTCCGAGCTTTTGGCTGCTGGCGCCAGGAGGAAAAAACATTTTACCCAGTTTAAAACACACAAGAATTTTATTTCTATCCTCTAGAAATTGACATCGTGGTTTGAGGAAAATGTTTTTAATTAAGCCTAGAGGTATAATGGAAAGTCTGAGTGGTAATCCTTTCACGGACACACACATACACACAAAGACACACAAAGACACACTCGCCCTCGCTCTCACATTCACAAATACATATACTTCGTCCTTCTGTCTCATCATCCTCAAAAGTAATAAGAAATAAATAGTAGAACATGTAAACATTATTTTTCTTTAGCTAATCTTGTAGTAGGAAGGATTAGTAGGAATAGATAAGAAGTTCGTAAGGCTGCAATTACTTATCAGTCACAGGCTGCAACCACAATATAACTGAAAATTGGGCTGTAAAAGTTATTATTAAGGGGAACAAGAATTTTTTAATCTTTTCGTACTGGTATAATAAAATATTTTGCCAGAAAGCAGTGTGCCGATTTGCACCTCTGTATTTCTTAGGCGAAATTGAAAATTTAAATGCGTTCCAAAAATGCAACAGGGTTTTTTAATACCACTGTTGTAGCTAATAAACGAGGTGTTTTCTTTGCCATTATGACCGTGAGCATGCATTACACCGGCGTACTGCTTGCGGTAACAGATACGTAGATGACGTTCACTACAACAAAACAGTTGTATTAATCTTATTCTCTTGATAGAATGACATGCGTCTAGACAACTACATTTACATAACCCAGTATCATTATTCCAATATTAAAACAAATGCAAGTTATTTCTTTTCTGTTTTAAGAACTTTTTCATCAGAGATTTATTCCTTGAGAGACATTTACTGGATGTAATTGTCATATAGAAGCAATGAATAACAATTCATTTTGAGAAAGCAGGTAGAATATCAAATCAGGAAACACTTAATGTTGGATTTTCAGTGTTTGAGTCAATCCTTATAATAATAAAAAATCTAAATACCACGAAAATGAGAAAACAAACTTTATGGGTGCAGGAGTATGTGCCTTTGAAGATAATTTTCTACATAAATTAGGAACAATTATTCGCTCTGAGGAAATTCCGATCTTTTTAATTGAGGCGTAGAATGCAAGAATGAGATAGACCATATCTTGAAATATTTATTGAATTTTGGACTACTATTTTTCTCTAATAAAGTTGTAAATATGATTAAAAAACAATTTTTCTCACATTTTTATTGGACTGTAGTATTCGCATATATGAAAACTGGGATATCTGGCTTTTTTCCAAGCGTCAGCATTTACTTTTCCATATATTTCATACGATGTAATCAGTGATCTTTTTTAAAACGTGAATTCCGTTAAAAGTGAATGTGTACCAAGTAGCTGCGAGGAATCAAAGAAACGAAAAAATATGAGTAATTGGAAAAAGGTAATATGCATAGTATGCAGATGTATAGGATTGTCAAAGCTAATATTACTAATAAACTTGTTCCACTCAAGTATAGAAGCAAATACTAGTGTATGCACAATGAGGGCCGGAGATTCTAACCTCAAATGGCCTACGTATCATACTTTAACCAACTAGTAATGAGAAAGATGGTTAAGGAGTTCTATTTAAATTTCGTGACTTGTCTTCAAAAAGTCTCATAAATTAATTTGACAAATTATGAACGTCAGTAAATGAAATTGTTTCACAAACATCGTGAAAAATACGTGAAGTTACGTGTTCAATATAAGGTAATTTTAACAGTAATGTTAAACATTTTGCGATAAATTCGTTATTTCTAAAAAGACCTTTGTCTACTGAAAGGGGAGAGAAATCGTAATGAATCAGAATGAGTGCAATAATGAATCTGAATGAAAAAATCAGATTGATGACGTACAATTAACTTTTTCTCTAGGAGGTAAACTTTTTATTAATATTTATGCTATAAAAAAAAAGCTTTAATGAAACGTTCGTTATTGACACCAAATATATTCCTGAAGAGAAACACTTCTAAATATCTCCATTTATGTTTCGTATGGTGTATTTTACCAATGCTTTCTAACTTCAATTTTATTGTCAACATTCGAAATAAAAAACCGAAAATTTACTTTTATTACACAAAGTCCGAAATGTACAGACTTATAAATAAATCATTTTTTTTTCACTCCTATGCTCTCTCCCCTCTTACATCTTTTCCTCTTCCTCCTCCATTGTACAGGGGTTGCCAGATTTTAATATCCCGCGCGCGTCAATCCGTGTTTCTAAGGAGCAAATGAATGAACCACAATAAATTTGCTTCCATACTCCTGTAGACATCTAGTGGATGACAATAGCGTTGCAAAGCACGCGGATGACAGATGGTTGCATAGCGAAAATTCTCTGCAAATGACGTGTCACTCGCTTTGTAATGTTTGATTGCGCGCGTGTCGGTTCAATAAAGCGGGTGCTGGGAAGGGCCGGGCAGGGCGGCTCGCACAATTGAATGGATGCAGGCCGACAGGTCGAGAGCGAATGACGTGATCGGGTAAATGATTTACGGAGACTCTTATTACATTAACCAATAAAGGATTTATTTGGAGTTACCGTTGTTATTACGCAACGGTAAAAATAGCCCATTATTATGGAGAAAATAAAACAAAAATTATAAAAGGTAGATAACATGTTATTATATAACGTAGATAATATTTATTATTCTTTTTTTCTAAACGTGATGAATAAGCAATTTAAGTAGTCTACAATATTATTTATTCCCAACGCGAAGTGTTATGTGTATTTCCAGGTGATCAACGTTGTGTATAACAAGTAAACAGCGATGAACTGACAACTTAGTAAGAGTAAAGATTTTAAAAATGATGAATTTATGAACGTAGTGCTACAAACTTATTAATTCTTGGAAATATACAACTAATACATATGTAAATAAATAATAAATGTATACTATTGCCATCATCGCCATAACC